GAGCTGGGATCTGGTCCTGCAGAGCTCCTTTAGCCTCTTGGGGGGAGGGGATCTGGTCCTGCAAATAAGCCTTTGTCTCTGCTCCTTCCCCCATCCCTGCAGCCCGGGGATGCTCCGCCCCGGGGGACACCTGACGCTCCTGTTCCCTAGCAGGCTCCTGCCACATAGGGCCTCTCCCCTGGGTGGGTCCCAGCTCCTCCGGCCTCTCTGGTTCTGCTGCCCTGCGCTGAGCCCTCTGGGCAGCCTCTGCCTCCTCCATTCCTGTGGCTCCCCTGGCAGGCTCAGCCGAGATCTCCCCCTCTTCCATGACCCCGAGCGGTTCCTCCAGCTCCCCGTCCGGCTCGGGCCTCGGGGAATCGAGGCAGCAGTTCTCATCCGGCAGGGCCTGCGCCTCCCGCTCCTGCACCCCGGATTCCCCCTCCGGCCCCTCTCTGCTCCCTTCCCCTGCCACGCTCTCCTCCATCCCGCTGTCCAGGGCGTCACTCACAAGGGCAGGCGGGCTCTGCGGCTCCCGCTCGGTCCTTCCGTCCCAAGTCTCCTCCAACCCGTTCTCTCCCCGGGGAGCTTCCCCCTCCGTCTCCGGGGACGTTCGCCCAATGGCGTCCATGCTGCCCACTTCCTGGCCCAGGTGGTTTCTAATGATCATCTCCACCTTGCCCACACCCAGCTTCTCCGGCTGCTTAGCGGACGCCCCCGCCCCGTCATCCTGAGTTCCCGGAGCAGCAGAGCTGGCTTCAGTCTTGCCCTCCCCAGGGCCAACACCCTCCACGCCGAAGGGACCTTGAAGGCAAAAGAGAACATGGGTCAGCCCCTTGGATCTCTCCCCATGGCCCCAGGGGGAGGGGGACCTGTCCCAAGGTGGCTGAGGAGATACTGGTCTCTAGGCAACAGCATCACCTGGGGGATCCTTCAGACCGGTCCCCAAGCAGGAGGCCCCCTGCTGGAGGTGGTCATTACTGCAGGGGTCAGTGGGCTTTGCCCCTTCGCCTCCCTGCATTACAGAGCGCTTCACAGACCTCTCTGGACTGAGCCGCCCCACGCAGGGCACAGGGGGAGATCGGTCCCATGTGACTGGTGGGGAAACTGAGGCACAAACAGGGAGGTGACTTGTCAGCACAGAGGAGCTGGACCTGCTTCCTGTGACATAGGGTACAGCTGTGCCCAATTGGGCCAGTCAAGGGGGCGGGGCAGCAGCTGGGGCTATAAGGGATCCAGGAGAATCAGAGAGGGAAGAGATCCTGGCAGGAGGATGTAAAGGGCCCTGGGGGAAGGCTGAAGGTACCAGAGGAGTTTGGCAGGCTGAAGGCCGGAGTTGCCTACTGTTTTCTGAACCGGAGCCGAGGGCCAGGGGAATAGCGGGAGGATGTCTCTGAGAGGAAGTGATGGAGGCTCCCCAGCTGAGCATGCCCTCCCAGTGGGGGGAAGGGGGTCCACTGGGAAGTGTGGGGCTGGGAGGCCGGACCTGGCAGAAGGCCAGGAGAGGACTGAAGGTGAACCCAAGTGTGGTGAAAGCCGCCGGAGTGTGGTATGTGCTACACTGATGGACCAGATGTCGTGGGATTTTAAGGGCTCCGTGCTCTAGATCTGGGGGTTATAAACTGACTCTTTGGGGGACTCTGGTAAGGGGTTTTTTGTAACATCCTGGCCCCAAAGAGGGGTAGCGGAGAGCCAACCGTGGTGTCCTTAGGGGCCCTTTGCGGAATGGTTCACTAGTAGAATGGCCCAAGGCCACCTGGGGAAGTTGTGGCAGGGTCAGGAAAGTAACCCGAGGATACTGGTTCCCAGTACCCTCATCTCCCCATTGCGCCAACCTTCCATCCCCCAGCTGAGATCAGAACCCAGGAGTCCTGGCTCCTAGCCCCCTGCTCTAACCACTAGACCCTACTCCCTTCCCAGAGCCGGGATAGAACCCAGGAGTCCTGGCCCCCCTGCTCTAACCACTAGACCCTCCTCCCTTCCCAGAGCCGGGATAGAACCCAGGAGTCCTGGCTCCCCTGCTCTAACCACTAGACCCTCCTCCCTTCCCAGAGCCAGGATAGAACCCAAGAGTCCTGGCCCCCAGCCCCCTGCTCTAACCACTTCCCATGCAGGAATCCCCAGGCTGAGATTTGGCCCCGGCTGCCCTGTAGTACTGGCCTAGCTCCCGGACCAGGGCTCTGGGAGCGATGGTGCTCCGCCCCGTCCGAACGCTCACCTGCTCTCGACACATCCCCATTCTCCAGGGTCTCCCGGGCTGCTGCTCGCATGGCCCTCTTGGGGGGCACTGGAGCCAGGCGGAGGGCAGGTTCAGTCTCGCAGCCACAACCCCCCCCACCTGGGTTTGGTTGGAAGAGAAAGGAGGCCGGGTCAATCACCGAGACAGGCTCTCCTGCACCCTCCCTCTTCTGCCCTGCCCCAGAGGGACCCCCTATGGGGAGAGGAGCCCCCCTGCCCCATCGATATTACATTGGGACGCCCCCTCCCCAGTCGCCAGCCTTCATGCTCCATGGGCAGCCCTGGGACAAGCCCGCAGAGCAGGGGCCGTTCCCCTCTCTTGCCCACGTGGTCAGCTTCCGGGCATGCAGGCTTTCCCCAACCGGCTACTCCCCCAGGCCCCCACGACCTGAGCTGCGGGGTCCCGCTCCCTCCCCACACGCTGCGGCACCATCCCATCGCCAGCTCATGTCCTGCGGCTGACATCAACCCCCCCCCCCCCCTTCCCTGAGCCTCGACCCCCTTGGGCCCCCCCGAGCCTCAGGAAGGAACCTAGCCATGACCCCCTGGGGAAACCAGCCCCGGCCGCTTTCCCAGCCAACAGGGAACAACTCACCTGTCGAAGCAGAGCCAGCCCCACGGGCCTGAAAGAGAGACACGGGCGCCTTAGGTGGTGGGGGTGACAGCTTGGGGAGGGGACTGGGGACAATGTATTGGCCCAGAATGGCTCCGGCCTCCTGTTTGCCAGGGGTCAGTTTTGCCTCATCTGAGGTTGTTTTTGCAGCCCAAGAAGGAAGCAATCGAAGCCCAAAAGGAAACATAAGGAGAACCCAGGAGTCCCTGAAAAGAGGCCAGAGGCTCAGACACAGGCCTGGGGGAAGAATTTAGGCAATAAACCATAGAGACGAGACAACCCCAGGCGGGGAAAGGGATAGAACAGGAGCCGCTCAGCAGGGGCGGACTGGGGAGGCTGAAAGCCCCCCCAACTTAGCCGGCCAGTGGCCTGACCAGGGGTAATTACAATAGGTGGCAGGGCCCTGTCTGGTCAGTGGCCAGAATGTTTTGCATGTCAGGGCACAAGCAGTATTGTGTTTTTAGCCGCCAGGTTCAATGAAATGGCACCAAGCCAGGCCAGGGGGCAGAGGGGTCTGACTCCCCCTTGGGTAGCAGGGGAGGGCTGGGTGGGGGTTAGGAGACTCTATCCCCCGCAGGCAGCGCGTTCACCGCCGGGCTGTGCTGTCTGCATAACCACAGAGGGACCCCACTAGATCTTCAGGAGGACTGAGCCTGTCTCATCCCCTGCTGCCTTCTTACCCGCCCCATGTGCCCACCCAGGAGTTAATCGTTGGGAGCACGCAGAGGGGGGCTCCCCCTGGCTTGGGTATGGCGTGCAGCCCCCTGCCCCACAGCTCCCCCTCTTCCTGGGCTGTTGCAGCATGCGCTCCCCCCCTCCTCCTGCTCCCGCAGGGCCCCACCTGCCCCACTGCATTACCTCACAGGTGCCCCCTGCTGGCTGCTTAGCATCTTCCAAGGCCTCGTGCGGCCTGCCGTGATGCTCCGGGTTATCCAGCTGCTGCATCTGGGACTGGAGGCTGCAGAGAGAGGGAGAGAAAAGCTCCCAGGCTGGGTCCCTTTCCATGGGGACTGGGGCCGACCCTGCTCCCCGGCCACAACCAGGCTCCCAGGCAGGAAAGCAGAGAAGCTGAGCTCAGTTCGGCCATGTAGAATTTTGCTCTGGCCCCTGCTTGTTGGGGGTAAAAACCCCATTGGCCTCTTATAATGTCCCAGGAGCAAAAACTAAAGTACAGGCCCCTGCAAGTCAGGACACCTGGGTTCTATCCCTGGCAAGATGTTTCCCTTCATCGTGTCTCAGTTTCCCCTCCCATCCTTTATGTATTTAGCCTGTGAGCTCTCTGGAGCAAGGACTGTCCCTCACTATGTCTGGGCAGCACCTGATGCAAGGGAACCCTGATCAAAAGGGAAATCGCCTTTATTTGGGAGCAGTATAGGGGCTAAGCCACATAGGTGAACAGTTCCCGATTCCATGTGCCAGACTAAAGGGGTGTCTCCCTAACTAGCATGTGCGTTCACACGCACACACCCCTGCCAGTTTATTCCCATGTGCACGCCAGTTTCATTGGCTTTTCTAACCCGGCTGGTTGAAATGGCGGGTTCTCTATAAATGGGCACATTGACATTAGATCACGTTGTCAATATCCTTCTTGTTTGTTACGTGTTCACATGCACAGGCAGCACGGTCCAGGGGTTGGAGCAAGGGGGACTGGGAGTCAGGTCTCCTGGGTGCCCTATCTCTGGTTTTGAGAAGCAGCGAAATCTCTGGCTAGGATTAGGTGTATTACGGGAAAGCCTAGGTGCCCCAGCACTGTGGTAGGTGCTGTAATGAGCGTCTGATCTATGTCTGGGGCAAGAGACACCAGCTGGTTACAGACAGGCAGGCAGCCCAAGGAAACGAGCCCAGCTCAGCTCAGCCCTTCTCGGGTTGGTTGCAGGCCTCCCGGCAAAGGGGAGGGATTTGCAGGTGGATAATGAGGCGCTTCTAGGGGGTTACAGGGAGCTGCTCCCAAGCAGGGAGAAAGCACCGCGGGGCTGGTTTGCAAAGGGTCCAGGTGGGCGCTGGAGACGGGAGTTGGCAGCTCAATGAGAGACAATTGGTCCGGCGGGGAGAGGCCGGGAAAGAGACGACAAGCACGATGGAGAAGGGGGAGCCGGGGGAGGGACGCCCTGGTCCGAGCGACTGTAAACCTAGAGGCTAGAGCGGGGGGACTGGGAGTCAGGATTCCTGGGTTCCATTCCCAGCTCTGCTCCTGCCTCACCCTGTGGCCCTGGGCAAGTCACTGCCCTGCTCTGTGCCTCAGTTTCCCCCTGCCCTGGCGAAGCGCTGTGAGATTGCTGGGTGAAAGCAGCTCTGATTGGGCAGAGATATCTCAAAGGCCCCTTTAGATGGATGGACCCCAGGGCAGGGGGTCCCCCCATGCACAGGGATAAAAAGTTCCAGGGTTTAATGAACCTTCCAAATTCAACGCGTGCGACTTGCTCAGCTGTGGCTCGTCTTGCCCGTTGTTCTGAGCGGTGATTTAATCCTGCGGAGTGCTGCTTGCTCGGCATTCAGTCACCTCCCCGCCCCGTGTCCTCCTTTTGATTCCCTCAGCTCTTGGTCTGAAACCACAGAAGCTGTAGCGAAGGCAGTTTGTCTGCTTTGTAAATGTCAGATTCCTTTGCTGTGTTTTACTTGCATGCTTCTTCCGGTCCAGGCAGGGGAGGGGGTGAAGTACGGAGGGCTCATGTCCCCCACCAAAAGTTTGGGCGGCCAGTCCCCAATTCCAAATCTGGCTGCTTCCACCTTGCTTCCCTAAAATCCCCATCAGATCTTCCTTCCTGTCCCGAACGGCTGTGTGGCTGTTAAACAGCTGCACGCCTCACCCCAGAGATGGCTGCATTTCAGCATCCAGCGAGCAATCCCCAGGCAGTTTGCTGGGTGGGAGTTAATCAGCAGCCCTGCCCTGCCCTGCCCTGCGAGGTGGCTGTAGCTCAAGGCTGAATGAGTAATTCCCCAGTGCTGCATTGCTGTGTGGCCGTTAAAGAGCTGCCAAGCCCCGCCCCAGAGGTGGCTGCATTTCAGTGCTGGGTGAAGCATGTAAAATGCTTTGTGATCCCTCCTGGGGAAGAGGCCCGCTGCAGATCTCCCCTGCGACGTACCCACTGCCCTCTTCTTACCTGGACAGATCCTGCTCTAGCTCCTGAATGCGGGACTGTGTCTGCCATAGTGGGGAGGTGGGGTTGTTCTCGGGGGGCAGACACGACCCCTCCATCAGCCACCGGTCTCGCAGGGACTTCCTCTGGGGGGGGGTGGAAGAGAGCAGAGCATCCTCTATCAGCCTGCCCCTCCCCCCATGCCCTGGATCGAGGCCACATGTACCCACGTGCCCCCCCAGCGCCATACAGCCATGCACCCATGCTGTCACGCAGTCACATGGACATCGACACGCCCCATGTGTTCTATTACAGCTCCTCACCCCCCAGCACACGTCTCCTTGCCATTGCTCCTGCTCCATGCACACGTGTGTCCAAGTATAGCATCCATACATGTACACGGGGACATACAGACACGCACACACCGACTACCCCAGTGACCCTGCTGCTACTCATGCGTCGTGCACAATGCTAGACCAGGGATGCACACATGTGCACAGGCATGGACATACAAATGCACATGCACACATGTAGACAGCCACAGCCACACACACGTGTACACACACCTGCACTGCACCCACACACATGATCCAGTTCAGTGGCCTGTGGCACTTCAGCACCTGGCAGGTGGCTCCACCTGCCCCAGGAGCCAGGAAGCAGGTGGCCTCTGACTGGTAATAGGATCTGTGCCGTGGGTGGACCCCAGGACAGGAAAAGTGGGGTGGTGGGAGTTGCTTCCCCACCTTGAGCAAAATGCACATCCCCCCACCCCCAGCTCACATCAGTGCCAAGGGGTTTGCCATGTGCTGCACAGAGCAGGGCTCAGGTAGCCACCACCCTATGGGGGGGGGGGTCCCTGTGCAGGAACCTGTCACCCCCCATATCCCCCAGCAGCCAGCACCCCACACTGGCAAGCAATCCCTGCCCCCACAACTCCCAAGGCAGCCAGGGACCTTGGCACCCCTTTGCTGGGCTGACCCCCAGCAGACCCCACCCCCCCAGAAGACCACACCCCCAACCACAAGGTCCCCTAACACCCCCCCAGATGCCACCCACATCCCTTCACATCCCAGAAGACCACACCCCCCAGCTCCCCTAACCCCCCCACCCTCCACAGACCCCCCCATGTCCCCTAACTCCCCCCCAGACACCACCCACATCCTTTCACATCCCAGAAGACCACACCCCCAAGCTCCCCTAACCCCCCCCCC